TGCTTGCGCTTCATCGTGTTCATACGCAGGGAAGTCTTTAACTCAGGTTGTTCAGCCCAATATTACGTTTTTGTTTAGTTTCCTGTTAATGTTAACCTTTACTCTTGTACAGACTCGAGAACTGCAAAAACCTACCTCGGTTGCATGCAAAATAAACTGGGTTCACGGTGTATCATTGCCAACCGGCCCGCATACACCGGTGGTCGAAGCCGATTACTTACGTTCTTTTTACGTAATAATAATAATAATAATAATAATAATAATAATAATAATAATAATAATAATAATAATAAATTGCTTGATGAACGACTCGACTCCATATCGCAATTCGACCCCAAAACTAACTAGAAACCATTTCTAATAATAAAAACGAAATTGCACAATTAATAACAATTAATAAACACTTATACTGTTGAAAGAAATAAAACATTTTAAATTCCTTACATTTGAAACCATTGCGACAAATGCTCTGTTGTTTTAATAACCCTTATACTTACAGTTCTTAAAACTCATTAGAATTTTTTGTTTTAAACGTCAATAACAGTTCGTTATTTCAATCTTACAATAATAATTTTCGAGTTTGATAAAAAAACTCTCTAAATTTACACACATTTTGAGTATGCTTGAGGGGTTTAAAAACATTTTCGTGGCTGGCTGGTTCAATATTTTAAATGAAAATCATATAAACACGTTATTGAGATTTGATGCAACGCGGCGTTTTGTATTCAAATGGCTGTGATTATACCGCAATCTCACATCATAACAAATGTAGAATAATGTGAAACCTATCACACAGTACACATTCTCTTCTAATTTATAGAACGTGCATTATGAATAGAATATACAGTTGTAACATGGACCTAAAATAACACTGTATGGACCCAAAAGAACATAAACAGAACTAAAAAGTAAAGCCATTCTCGCACGCACATACACAGACAGACATATACAACAGTCCATTGGGATCTGTAATAAATACGAGTGCAGATAAGAATCCTAGTTGTTTAATGATTTTGTTTATACGCGATATCAATATAAGTAATCAAGGATATGAAATTTTAAGAAAGTGCAAATGTCATTTACAAAGCAAATGACTTCGAAAATGATTGGGTACAGTTTAGAAGTATGTGTACTTACAGTCTTGATCCTTTTCTACAAATCTTAAAAATTAAAGATCCCCTTTATGCACTGTTGTTCAACAGGCTATAAAATATTGGTGTAAATCTTAAAATTAACGCTTAAGCCATTTAATGACACCACAAAAATTGAGGATGAAACTGTGGTGACATCAAATAGTGCCTTGACACACAACGACTAACACCTTTCGAACACGACACCCCACGACACAACATGATCCCGTCACGACACAACCCAACACCGGACGCGACACAAGTAGCAGGCACAGAGAGAATGTTGCGATATATTCGATTCTCACAGTTACCATAACTAGAGTACTGATAACGAACAACTACAATACCATCCTTTCTTCTTGTTCTCACCCTTCATATTGCTACACTAATAAGTAGTGAAGTTCTTGTGAAAATAAAGGCTAGAACAACATCCCACTAATTTGAATCAGAAAAAATTGGAATGTTTATGAAACATCCATAGATGTGAATTATGGAAACATATTCATTGAAAATATATCGAGAAGTTATCGAGTATGAATTTAGTGAAACGTGTATTGTTCATCCGAAATCGAGTTGCGGTACAATCGATCGCAGGCTCCGTAACACCGACATTCTTTGTGGTATCGATAGAAAACATCGTATCGTATCGAATATCGCAACATTCTCAAGCAAAGGGTATGTGATGAAGGGAGGATGGCAAGAGGTCCAGAGAAAAAGGTGCTGGCCTACTCGGGGGGCGACGAAATCCGAACAAACGACCGCAGCGCACTCCGCGCATAAAGCGGGCGCGATCCTTACTAATGGGATTCCGGAGGCCGAATTCAAACGCGCAAGAGTTTATAATTCTAACGAATAGCGCCCTCCAAAACCGCGAGAGAGAGAAAGAGCGCGCAATGCCGTGAGTGGCATAATTCCCGGATTTAATAACGCGCCCACATAATGAAGAGGCGGAAGAGCAATTATGGAGCGGCGGTGCACGCGGTGGCACGTCGTTTAAGGCAACGAAGAGAAATCGCCGGATTTATTTCGGCTTGGCACCTGCAGGCTCATTTAAACGAATACGGTTACTGTACAGGTTTTAGTCTGATCCCCGGAGTTCCGGAGCACGGGTTTGTTACAAACCATTTCTCGCGGAGGACGTTGAAGTTTCGTGTTGAAGATTGGTGGATTACATATCGCTAAGCCGAGCGAACAGCGAATTGGACTATCAACATTCATTTTGAACAAAACTACCTTAAGCCGTATTTGATATAGAAGCCGTGATTGTCACGTAAGTTGAGAAATATTATTGGAGCCTAACATATCCTCAGGCCTTTCGCCTCCATAATATCTGAAAGCTAAAGTGATTCTTAGGCAGTTTTTGAATTCTACGTATAAATGGATACAGAAAAAAGGAGTAATAGACCAAACTTCATGTAAAATTCGAAATCATTCGTGGAAAAAGTTATTTAGATTGAGAAAATTAAAAATATGAGGACTAAAAAAGTGAAATGTTGTATGTGTGGGGATACTGAAACAATGGGTAAATGACAGGACAGAGGGAAGCAGAAAAGTGAATTGGTTACAAGAACAGAATTAAGAATGAAGAAAAGAAGGAAACGACTTGGAGAACGAGGGAGATATGGACAAAAGGGAAGAGTGATCGACCAAATGGAAGACGCACGGATAAGTTACGGCCAAACAATCAGTGGGCCACAAACCCCGAGCGAGCGACACACGGACAAAAAGCCCGGGGAGGAGTCAACCACGTAAGCCAGCGGTCGCCAACTAATGAATTGGAAGGAAAAAAAAGCCACGATCCTGTAAATAGGGCCACACATTCAAAAATCTAATTCATCCACGTGGGAACAAATATCACACCGAAAATGTGTATGAGCCAAATCATTCAAATTATTTTATAATCTTAAACTAAGTTAAATAATTTTTCTAGAAAATAAACTACTTTAAAAAGGATTCTAATGGAATAAGCACCTACAATTTTGTTATAAGCAAATGGTATGTTTAGTTTACTTTAATTTATTTTTGCTTTTTTGATGTTAATAAAGTGGACATTTTCTGAACATTATTTTTTAAATTTAAATTGAATTGTTTTAAATGCAGTAAATCTACAACACATGAGAGCCATCTTTACTTCCCCGGTTAGAATACTTTTTTTTCGCCATTAAAAACACCCCGCTTCGATTGGGTTTGAATCCACAAACGTGGATATGGAAACAGCCCGACACGCTAAACAATATCCCATCAAACAGTATTTTACAAATATATTCATGTTTTCAAAAAATGCTCAACTTTGGCCCGCGGGATATAAATACGCATTTAGCGGTTCCATTAAAACGGAAAGCACGGTGGCCAACCTCTCTCTGACACACATTTCCCAGTTTTGCAGAGAGAGAGAGAGAGAGAAACAAAGATAGCCAGGAAGTGACCACCCCAGAGATGTGGCGACCGCTGACAAAAAGTGAGGTGGCGGCGGCACACGGCACACACAAGCGGGGCCCGCCCGGCCCACGCCGAGCGCTGTGGCTGTGCGGCGTCGCCGGCCTGTCCGACCTGCGGCGGCGTCGGGGGCGTCGCGGGCGTCGTGCGCGACGGTTGTGGCGGGGGCGTCGTGGGCGGTCGTCGAGATGGTGGTCGTTGCAGCGGTGGGCGGCTGCGGCGCGGGCCGGCGGCGCGGGGCCGGGCGCGACTCACTCTTGGAAGGGTCCTCCACCGGCACGGACTCCGCGCTCAGGTCCAGCGGCGGCTCCGGGAACTCCTTCAGGTCCGGCAGCTCCGCCGTGGGCGTGCCTGCGCAGCCGCGCGCGCCGCCGGTCACTCCCCCACCCACGTACACATTCACTCGCACAGTGCATCCGTTACCCACACATCCATCCATCACTCAACTTGTTACCCACCTACCCACTCCCTCATCCACTTACATACCCACCTTACGCACATATCCATCTACTTACATACACACAATTGATCAGATTTCTATCCATTCACTAACCAACCCTCTCACATATTCACTTTCCCACTCACATACCCACGCACTCGCGCAGTTCATCCGTTACCCACACATCCGTCTTATCATATATCAACCTACTTACCCACCTACCCACTGCCTCATCTACTTACATACCCACCCACTCACACAGTCCATTTTTCCACTCTCTCACTAACCAACCATCTACTCTTTCTATTAACCCACTCATCAGTTCACTTTTCTACTCGTGTATCCACTCACTCGTACATACCATCTGCTTCCCGCCCTCTCATTATACAAACCACTTTGGTCGTCTATCAACCTACTTACCCACCTACCCTCTTGCTCATCTATTTACATACCCACATACAGTTACCCTCAAAACTTTTCTAGTTATCAATTTTTCCATATTAACACAGAGAATTACTTATTTTACCCACTTATTGACCTGCACGCATGACGAACGCACAAGCACACACATCCACACGCTGGCCTATATAAGGCTACAAGTTCCTCCCCCAACCAATTTTCTAATGAGTTCTCCAAGCCAGATTAAATTATTTATTTTTAAACAATGAATACAATATCTTTGTTGGATTACCCTTGAAAGTCTACTGAGATATTCCTTGAGTAAAGCTGCTAGTGTGCTGATTTCGTAACCTTCAATTTAACATATTTTTATCTTTTCTTCAGTCTATAATTTTTTATCCCTCCCTCGTGGTCACTGTTACGGGCCACACATGAATGGTCAATTCAGATAGAAATTTCAACTGTACTACCAACGTTCTAACTGCATTCCGAACAAAACCTAATTTAAATCGCGCAAACTTAAAATATACATATGACGTAACATTTACTCGGAACTAATTAGTAATAATACTCTGATACAGAGGTGTTCCTCCAAGAAGGAACCAACTTGGCAAGTCGGAAAACAAACGAACGGCATGGCGACGACATCGCAATATATAGTGATGAACCCATGTATAAATGAGCTAACTGTAAACAAAAGAAGTGACAAAATGAGTGTATGAACCATATTCCCATTCCCGTTCCCTCAAGGAGAATATCTTTGAACAGGCAAGCCCAAAGCGTCCTCGAGCAAATTAGTGCATCGGTTGTGACGCCCATTGGTGTTTCGGCACCATCCACATTCACTCACCATACTCTCACCCCTGTTCCCTCCCCAAGAACGAACCTCACCCACCAGGCGAGGCCAGAGCGACCCAGAGGAATGGTGCGTCGGTTGGCCCGCCCATTGGTACGACACCATCCACATATACTCATTGACGACCATACTCCCCACCCTTGTTCCCACCACCAAAAGGAACACCACCCGCCAGGCGAGTCCAGCACGTCCTGGAGGATTGGTGCGTCAATTGGCACACCCATAGGAACGTCGATACCATTCACATTTACTCAATGACGATCATACTCCCCCCCCTTTCCCTCCACCAAAAGGAACACCATCCGCCAGACGAGGCCAGCACGTCCCAGAGGATTGGTGCGTCGGTTGGCCCGCCCATTGGTACGACACCATCCACATTTACTCGTTGACGACCATACTCCCCACCCCTGTTCCCTCCACCAAAAGGAACACCACCCGCCAGACGAGGCCAGCTCGGCCCAGAGGAATGGTGCGCGTCGGTGGGTGGCACTCACTGATGGTGGGCGTCTCGCCGTTGGGCTCCTCGCGCACCAGCGGCTCGGCCACGTGCTCCGAGGAGCAGGGCTTCTGCACCAGCTTGTGGCACTTCTTGTGCACCAGCAGCTTGCACTGGATGCACTTGAAGCCCTGCCGCCCCAGGCCCCAGATGCGGTCCTGGCAGAAGGCACAGAAGGCGCGCTGGAACACACACACACACACACACCACTGTCAGTCCAACGAACAAGAAGGCGGTACACAGACGCTTTAGCCAACTATTACTTCTTACCAACAAACATTACTATTTCATTTATAGTTAAGTAATTGTAATACTCACTAATTACAAATCGAAACAACAAAAATCATGCAAACCTTCATGTTTATTTATGGAAGCTTTCGTATTCGCTTGATGTGTGTGCAATGTACACTGTGTATGCATAAGATTAATCGTATGGGGATTGATGTGAATCAGTAATCTGTAAGTTCCGTGCGTGTATCTACACGGGAAAAAAGAACAGTTGCAGTATACCAGATCCATGATACTGTAACAACGGAACTTGTTACAGTATCATATAAACATACATATAGCACACATACATATATATGTGTATAATGTATGGTATAACATTATTATTATTATTATTATTATTATTATTATTATTATTATTATTATTATTATTATTATTATTCGTGATAACGGTTCATTGGGTTTGTAAGTTTGTGGGTGTAGCCTTGCCTCCTACTGTGCCTACTATTGTTGTAATACATTCACACTGTAATTAGGTTGGCTTCCGGTGTTCACCTGGCAATTAGTCATTAAATAAAGTTGAAATATTATTATTAAACTCTATGATTATCGCAGAAGTATTGAAGAAATCCATATGGTGGGTAAAATAGAGATAGTTTTCCACAATACTTCATGTAGAAACGATTATGTAATTTATTGTGGTATTTCTATTTTATCCTTGCAAATATTATTATTATTATTATTATTATTATTATTATTATTATTATTATATTAGACATTGAGACATTGTACTTAAGAACTTTTCAAGAGAGAATTTTGTTAAGAAATTCTTAAAATCAAGTTATGAAACAAATTGAGTTTTAGCATATTATTATTAATTGACTGTAGCATTGTGACTGTTCAGTTGCAATGTTCTTGTCCACCTTCCCTCTTTATAGGGAGAGAGAGAGAGAGAAAAAAAAAGAAAAAGGAAAAGCGTCGCGGGCGTGTGGGCCGTCTTCAGAGCGCGGTGGCGTGGTACTCACTCGGTTGAACCGCTTCGCCTGGAAGATGTGTCCATTGACGCGGTAGAGCTTGCGCCAGCGCCGGGCGCCGCGCCGGTAGATGCTACCTGCAACAGGCGCACAGCCGCCGTCAGCGACACACACACACACACACCACACGCACGCGCACCACGAAATTAGTTCATGCTTTACGCGCGCTTGCGGGACGGAAGTCACAAAATTCTGACGTATATACTCTTTGATATACTCTCAATTTTCTACAGAGAATCACCAATTTATTTTCTTAGCGTACCACAAAATTAGTGATAAAATATAGTATAAAATATACTCTCAATTTTCTACAGAGAATCACCAATTTATTTCCTTAGCGTACCACAATATGAGTGATAAAATATAGCAAGAATCAAGAGAAAAGAACTTACGAATACGGCATAACATGTTGACAAATACACACATATATTTACTTTTCAATTAACATTCAATTTGTTAAGTGTTTTCGCATTACCATTTGTGGTAACCAGTATCCCAAAATACAATTCTCTACGATACTACAAATTGAAATATTATTACGATCATACAGGCCAAATCATGGAATCGATAGTCACGTACAAAAATATACAAAGGAACATAGATTGGAAACAAGTTTACTCCTGTCAGTCTAACTACCGGTATCTTATGAGAAATTACTTTTCTCATTTTCTTGGTAACTCAATGAACAACCCAGAGATCGATATCCAGTTTATGATTGAAAACAAGTTTCATTGAAAAAGAAAATGTACCAGAGTGGCGAGATGGGAATTATTAAGTTATTTTTGATTTTTGTGACCAGATGTATGAGATTTATAATAAACATTTAATATCCTACAAATTGTTCAATTGTACTTTAAAACATTTTCAATATGCTTAGACGATTTGAATACAGTTTTTCCCCACTATCTTCTTCCGTAACAATCTTGAATGCAAAACGTAGTAATCTTTACATGTTAATTAAAAGTATGTTTCCTCATAAAACGTGCCTCACCAAAATTCAATAAAATATATCGTGCGTAATACGCAACTTGAAGTCACGAATGATCCACGTGAGAAATCCTAGTTACACAATACTAACACTTTCACAGACAAAACATCGCATTCGAGATGAAGATCTAATTAATATATGAAGATAGTTCATAGTTCTCCATTAGTATCGACTTTTTGTCGATTGTGTCTGTTTATCCAGGTGCCATTTTAGACTAAGTTCTTATGATAAAACATACCTTACATCCGATTACTTTGTATTCAGTGATTGCAAATTTGATTCATTTCGTTCTAAAATGTCAATTCAATAGTTATGGTATTTTCAGTTATTTTTGTCACGTGTGGTCGCGACTTTTAGAACATTTATTATTATAAAAACAGGAATGGGGTTTGTGGGTATGTCAAGAACACTTCTTTGAGTTTTCGATGCAAGTGAAATTAAAAAAAAATCTGTTTAATTCTAATTTGGCAGGAAAATATCAAAAAGCAGATATAGAAATAATCTCACGTATTTATGAACAAAACTGAGGAAGTGATAGTACCATTTATTACGACCGATGCCAAGAACTTGTGAAAAGTATGGAATCAGAGTAAAGTAGGCGCCAATTAAAATGTAACTCAAATTCCACCACTTCAAATTTCCCACCACCAAAAAGAAGACTAACATAAAAACTATCACAATTACTTCTATTATATAAATCCTCGCTCCAACGTCCTCCCGCAGAAGTTGGCAACCCTGCGGAGCGTCCTCCGCCCAGCTCTCTCTCTAATCACTGACCGCGACGGCCGCGTCGTCGAGCGAAAGGTCAAGCGAGAGATCGAACGCGCGACCGCCGTCTCCAGACAGGAGCCGCAGCCGACATCGCCACCGACCCCCTCCCTCCACCTCACGGGCGACCCACGCTCCTGGCAATGCTCGCCGTTAAATTGATTCATTAGACTGTTTCCGGGTGCGTCAGCTAAGATCATTAATTCCGTAAGTGCTGTGCATGTATTGTTACGAGAGTGGCGGTGTTCTCCCTCAACTGTGTGGCGAAATCCGGAGCCGATCTACCGCCGGCTAGCGAGGTTTTCTCCAACCAGGTATCTCCTAACAGCGGGACACCGCTTCAGTCGGGACAAGCTCTAAACTCCCGACCGGTCTCCCGATATGTGTGGTAGTGTAGTGCATGTTAGTGTAAGTAGGTATAAGTAAGGGCGAGGATTAGGTCAAGGAAGGAGAAGGAAATATCGCGTGCGGCCCGTGGCTCGTTTGTTAGGGTACTTCTCTTAGCATTCGCTTAGTATTGATCGGAGAAAAGACGGAAAACTACCGATCAGAGCAGCCGGCCGCTAGACTTCTCCTCCAGACTGCGACACATCTATAAAACTAGAGTCGAAAATCCTACCACTGCCGGGAGCCGAACCCTAGGACACGCCGGTCAGAGGCACTGCAGTGACATCAATTGATGCCCTGAGCCACCTCTGCCGTATCGCCGTTAAAGTCGCCGCGTACAAAAAACAAACGCAAAGGCAGCTCGCGCGATGCCGGATCCTTCGAACCCATAATGGAACAGGATATGGGCTATCGTAAAATCCGACAACACACCACTCGGGGCCACACGCCCCCTTTCTCTAACCTGGACCATAACGTAAATTTCGGGTTAACGTTTTATTGCGGCGAGAAAGACGTCAACGAGCTTTTTAACGTCCGCATATCGGGAGCGCTAGAGAACCCGAGAAAGCTACTAAAAATATTCCCCAGAGGAAGAAAATGGTTCCGAGAATAATATTTCATACTTTTAGCGCGGGCTTTATTTTGTTTTGATAATTCCCTAAAGAATGGACTATAAAAAAACAGACATAAATATACCCTGATATGGACTACGCTTATTGCTTGAAACGAAAATCGATCTCGTTTACTACGTTGGAAGCAATCTACTCTTGTTGATAAGGGGTGCTTAAAATTCATTCCATCACCAGACACTGTTAAACTACATGCGAAAATGAGATATTACATTACCAAGGTGAAACATAGATGAACGGGAGAGATCAAATTGTGCTGGTAATCGAACGAAAACATTAATCTCGCAACAAATTCGTGCTCTGCAATAAAAAACGTCACAGAGGCGATGGCAGATAACAGGACAATGCTATTGCAGGGGATTCCACTAGCTCCTAGGCTTCAATAAAGTACGAGTATTTTTTATTTATGAAACAGTGGAGTGAATTTTAATGCAAATACCCGAGTAGAGACGTTCTCATTGCACTATCGTGCCGACAAAAGGATGGGCCATAAAATATGCATAAATACCTGCGGTTATTGTCCATGAAAGTCACATTATCCGATACCAGAGCATCGCTTCTATCTATTTAAACCTTCTAAATATATAAAATACATTGAGTATCTATGATTAGTTTCTTCACATGAACATGAAAATTCAGTAGTTGAAGCAAATTAAACAGAAACGTACAACAAACTAAATTTAAAGAAAACAACTATCCTGCTATTACTTCCATTGGCTAACGTTCGCTTTAATTTGAAGTTAGTTTCCCAAAGGCCAATAATAAATATGGATTTGAGTTACTTTAAATAAGTCAAAGCGAAATACAAGACCTTTATGAAATGTTATACGATGCTCATTTTATGTTTCACCAAGAGTCTGCAAATAATATTTTCCGAATTTTCAATACAACGCTGTGCAGGAGAGACAAAAAGTTAGTACTTATTTCTTTACGTTGTATCTCCATATAACTCATAGTTAAAAAAGTTCACCACAAAAGAACAAGTTAAAGTTGTTTTCCTTGATAAATCTGTGATGACAAGCGCTTTCTTTTTTCGCTACACAGACGGGAATGTTAAAACGAACGTGAAAGAACCAATTGGAAAGGCGAATAGAAACTGTAAACGACCAAACATCGGCAGTAAATACCAATGCACAGACCACAAGGGTGTACTGCCGCAAGGAATGAATTTCGTCCTCATGGGCATCAATTACCCAAGCTAAACGCGACTGGTCGAGTGCGCGGGCATGCGAACCACCCTCGTAAAAAACTCCCCCATACATAAGACCTGCGCCGCCGTGCATGCAAAGCGAGCGGTCGGCGGAGCGGGTGTACCCCAGGGACCCCATTGGTGGACGGTCAATTCGTTCTGCGCGCTCGTAGGTCAAGCGAAGAGGAAGGAGCGCTAGTGGGCGGCGGTTGGAGTGGAGGACGCGACGGCGGAGGGAGGTGACGGGCGGTGGGTGAGCGAGCGAGGGATGAGTGGTAGGCAAGCGGAGGACGAGTGCTGGGCGAGTGCTGGGCGAGTGGTGGACGAGCGGTGGATGGCGATTGGTGACTAAGGAATGGATGAGTTGTAGAGTGGCGAGACGAGATGAGAGGGGCAGATGAGAGGTACACGAGCAGTAAGAGAGTGGGGAGAGGGAGGAGGCGCATGGAGCCGAGTGGGAGGGTGGATGGAAAACGAGTGGGAGGGTGGATGAGAGGAAGACGAGTGGCTTGGGAGAAATGGATAATAGGTAGACGAGAAGTGTGCGATATATGGGCAAAAGTCGGACGTACGGTAGGAGAGCGGCGGGCAAGAGGTGGAGCAGAGATGGAAGAATGGCGGGGGAGCGGAAGATGAACGGTGGAGAGCGGTAGGCAAGAGGACGGGACGTGGTGGCAACACTGGATGAACTGACGGCGCAAACGTGGGCTGGAGTGGGTGGTGGTGGGTGGTGGTTGGTGGTGGTGTGGTTGTGGTGGGTTGGTGGTGTGGTGGAGGGGAGAGAGCGGCGGCGGTCGCACCTTCCGGCGGTGGGCGGCAGCAGCAAGACACGACGGATGGCGGTGGTGAGTGATGGTGCGCAGAGGCATGGACGGGGGACTGGGGACAGCGGAATGAGTGAGGACGGGAATAGACTGCGTTGTAAAGGACGGAGTAAAGACGGGCAGCGAAGAACGGATGAATGGAGACAGGGAGTAGGTGAGGACAAGTGTGAAGGAGGCAGGGGGATGGCTAGTGACAGGCGTGGGCAGTCGGGATGGTAGAAGAGCGTAGCGGAGGGCAGGGGAGAGATGGACAGAGGCGGGCGGACAGCGGGTGGAAAAGGGGTAGAGAGCAGGTGGAAAGCGGGTGGACTGTGGGCGGGCAGCGGGTGGCAAGCGAACGGGCGAAAGGTCGGCGGCGGGGCGGGCTTAGGCAGGCAGCCGCTGGCGAGGGCTTGCGGCGCTGAGTTGTGGAGTAGAGCGCTCCGCCTGCCCCGCCCCGCCCCGCAGGCCGCGACCGCGGCGGTCGCGTGGGCGCTGATGGACGGCTGCGCGCCCGCAAGCGGCGCTCGCTCGCCCCGATCGCTCCCTTCGAGGGCGGGCCGTCGCTGCCCGGCCGCCCCTAGGCGATAAAGCGATCCCGGGGAAACGCCGCGCCGGCAGGTCTCGCTGCGATACTGTGTTTGTATACCAACTAGCAATATACCCGGCGTTGCCCGGGTATTCCTCATATCCAATCTTTGTGTAAGAGGAAAAAAAGCAATTTTGTATAAACCACTATGTTTTTGTAATATTGTCACATTTTAATACAATACTATCATTTTATTTTATAGAAAATTGCTATTAGGTTTATTTATTTTTTTAGCATACGAACTGCTATTGACCTCTAGCGAATAAATAGTAGGTATCAATATTGCTGCAACGCTACTGGCCTCTTAGAGAATATATTACGAACCACGTGGTCTTAGGAAGTTAAAAAAAGTCGTCGTACAGTATAATATACCAATATATTTAAATTATTTATTTTCCAAATTGTATTGTATTGATCTTTACCACACTTTTGCAAGGACACAACAACAATCCTGAAGATATGCGTGTAAAAGTTTCGTATCTATTCGTAGACTACTTTTTGTGGTATCGATGTCGGTTACATGTTGAATGCACTTATATTAGTATAGATTTATTTCAGTTTTGAATGAGGAAGCAATCAGAAATAACATGAACTGCAGCTAAGGAACCTAACAGCCCGTAAGGATATGAATCGCTGCTATGGAATCTACAGTAGTAAATAGACAATGCAGAAAAGAGGAAAATAAACGGATGAGAAACTATCGAGTCATAAAGTCATTCGAGTTGATTTATGACACAAACTTTTATGTTTCCAATTTCATAATATACTGTCGTTCTTGTGGAATGAAGATATTATTATCGGAAGTTAAGATATAGTCTTAACTATTTTACGATCACAATTCTTTTCATTGCATCCATTTCGCGAATAATAAAAAATATACTTAATAAAAATAAGGTTTTCTTCTGGAAATTTAGCCTCCCTTCGTCCTTATGTATGCGTCAAAGAGCACTATTAATAGAGAAAATCGAAAGATTTGGTAACATAATTTAAAGTTAGCATTCAGATTCTGAAAATCATAAGGTTTATAATTAATTGCAGAGGGCAAAGACACTTTTGTTTTGAAAATGGGTTATATTGATCTTGTTTTATTTTACAATTTGATTCAATAATTTAAAACAGACGTTTCAAACCTAAACATCGGGATTTTTTCAAATAGCGGGATCTTTGAGTGTGGAACCATGTGGGATTAATTTACAGAGACTAAAAATAAATACCTAAGTTAAAATTTAAACGAAAATCGCAATAGTGAAAAGTCTGCTCAAAGCATGGTGCTCCTCTCTTAGCCGAAAATATTTATTTTTAATCTATTTAACTCTACATGGTTCCACACTCCAAGTACCAGCTTTTGAAAAAGACTCCAATGTTTGGGATGGAAACGTCAATGTAAAGAGTAACTAAATGTAATTGCCCATTGAATGAAACAAGGTCAACGTAATCCATTTTTAAAGCGATTTAACAGACGTTAACCTGTACTTTCACAAATTGTTTTATTTCGTATTAGGGTGAACGGCAAAAGCAGATGATCCTACTCTTATAATATTCTTTAGTCATGAAATGAGGGAATTTAAGTTTCCCATTTCTAAACCAAATTTATTATAAGATAATATTTTATAATTATATATTTTCATGAGTACATCTTTGGATACGTGAAAAGTTATATTGCTGTCATATACTAACGTCTTTTAATATGTGAAAAGTACAAAAAAATGTATCGAATACCCCTAATCAGCAAATTGAACTACGTTTCCGAATTATACCCATTTACTCCATAAAATACTTAACTTTTGTGCCGTTTTAACGCGCACCGAAATTAATTTGTGCCGATACAGTAATTTCCCTGATTGAAAACATATATTAGAGATAATTTTGTCCTTGGAATGAAGGTTAAGGAGTCCCACAAACAACTCACCGTTAGTAATTCATCATTAATACATGAGCTATTAGATAACACTGCACCATTACAGTACTTAAACGGATAGTTGACACATTTTACGGAACATTAGGTGCCTGAAATACATGAAAGAATATTACGTTTCTTCGAAAATCATAGCTACATCCCTTAAAATCCAATGAAACTTCCAATTTAATTAACCTAATTCAGGTTTATACCCGTCGAGTTCCTCAAAGCGGGCTCCGCTTGGCATCTTTAATTTAATAACAAAATCAAATTATAGAATTTTAACGGATATAAACGTCACAGAAAAATACGTCACTCAAAAATATATTACAGAATATTACAACAATCCTTCGAAAGACAATGCATTACTCTAAAAATGAATAGAGCCTTCAATTCTATTTATCTGTTTCTGGCTTATAACAGTACAGAAAGAGACCTTACAAAAGGTGCGGTCAACAGAACATTATTTTTATAAAAACAGGAAAATTAAGTATTGTAACCGAGAGTAAACATTTGTTACGGAAAATTACATCTGATAAGACAATGATACAGAAAGACGTTACAGAAAATCACGTTCCATCTGAAAATAAGACCATCACATTGCAAAGATGCAAGTAGTGTATTTGAGTACAGAGCGGAACGTCCAACACGATGGATTCTGCAGAACACTTCTCACATTAAAATAGAAGCTGTAGAATAATATTGTATTGACGAATATTCCGAATTATAGTAGTTAAACGAATGTATGAATTTCGGGTCGATGGTACGACTTTCCCGGCTAGCTAACGTCAAGGTCCAATTCATACCCCACGCTCGGGGGTAAGAGAGATATCCGGCGAACATGACATATTCCCTTCACCCTAACTAACAAATTCTACCTAGCAAAGATTTTCTTCGTCGCACAGCTCCAGAAACTGAGACGATTTTAAAGGAAGGCTACATCTCTATATTTGCCCCGACCGGAAATAGAACACTGGACGCAAGAACGCTGTCCATGAACCATACATTAGGAAGTGGTTTAACGAATACGAATATTTTATGAATGTTTATTTTGTCTCTTTCTCTTTCACGACAGGAGACAAAACTGTAAACAGTAAAACTTAAGACAGAACCTGACGGTTAAAAAAAAAAAAGGTCACGGCAGGTTTCCGTCTTACAGATTAATTATTGATTCCGGGCGCGTCAACAGCTAAGGTAATTGTTCCCGTAAGTGTAGTGCATGTTTTATGTTATCGCTGGGCGGAGATGTTGTCCATCTGGGTGGTGAGGTCCGGCGTTGATTTACAGTGGGGTAGCGGTTTTTCCCAACCAGGTATCTCCCACCAGCGGGGCACCGCCCCAGCCGGGATCAGCTCTAATCTCCCGCCATGTGTGATAATGTAGTGTATGTGAGCGTGTGTGTAAGTATGGGGTGAGGATTGAACAAGAAAGTAGAAGGGAAGATCGCTCACAGTCTGTGGACAGTGTATTAGGGTACTGCTCCGACATTCTCATGTTGATCGGAGAAACCAAGCCAAACTACCGATCAGAGCGGCCGGCTGCTAGAAATCTCCAGACAGCGACAGAACTCGACCTAGCTAACTAGCTAGCATGGAAAATCCTACCACCGTCAGGACTCGAACCTAGGACTTCCAGAGAGGCATTGCAGAGTCATCAGTTGATGCATTGAGCCACCTCTCCTGTCTCCTTATAGAGGGTTGCCAAAAAATCCCCATAAAAGCACAGTATTTTCGATTTATCAATGAAACTTTACCTTACACACAACGTTCCTTCCGGTCCTAGGCCATCACTACAAAACCGAACCCCCGATTCCCGTCGTTGTGGGAAGCCTCCACCCGCTCAAACGCACT